CTGTGACATGTGACCTGTGACATGTGACCTGTGACCTGTGACATGTGACCTGTGACATGTGACATGTGACATGTGACCTGTGACATGTGACATGTGACCTGTGACATGTGACCTGTGACATGTGACCTGTGACATGTGACATGTGACATGTGACCTGTGACATGTGACCTGTGACATGTGACATGTGACCTGTGACATGTGACCTGTGACATGTGACCTTTGACCTGTGACATGTGACCTGTGACATGTGACCTGTGACATGTGACATGTGACCTGTGACATGTGACCTGTGACATGTGACCTTTGACCTGTGACGTGACCTTTGACCTGTGAGCTGTGACATGTGACCTTTGACCTGTGACATGTGACCTTTGACCTGTGACCTGTGAGCTGTGACATGTGACCTTTGACCTGTGAGCTGTGACCTGTGAGCTGTGATCTTTGACCTGTGAGCTGTGACCTGTGACATGTGACCTTTGACATGTGACCTGTGACATTTGACACGTGACCTGTGACATGTGACCTGTGACGTGACATTTGACACGTGACCTGTGACATGTGACCTGTGACGTGACGTTTGACATGTGACCTGTGACATGTGACCTTTGACATGTGACCTGTGACATTTGACACGTGACATGTGACCTGTGACCTGGACATGTGACCTGTGACCTGGACATGTGACCTGTGAGCTGTGATATGTAACCTGTGATCTGTGACACATGACCTATGACCTGTGAACTGTGAGCTGTGACCTGTGACTTGTAACATGTTACATGTGAGCTGTGACCTTTAACCTTTGACCTGTGACTTGTGACCTTTGAGATGTGACTTGTGACATGTGACTTGTAACATGGGACCTTTGACCTGTGACATGTGACCTTTGACCTGTAAGCTGTGACCTGTGAACTATGACCTGTGACTTGTGACCTGTGACCTTTAACCTTTGACCTGTGACATGTGACCTTTGATCTGTGACTTGTGAGCTGTGACCTTTAACCTGTGAGCTGTGACTTGTGGCATGTGACCTGTGACCTTTGACATGTGACCTGTGACCTTTAACCTTTGACCTGTGACCTGTGACTTGTGACCTGTGACCTTTAACCTTTGACCTGTGAGCTGTGATCTGTGACCTTTAACCTTTGACCTGTGAGCTGTGACCTTTAACCTTTGACCTGTGAGCTGTGACCTTCAACCTTTGACCTGTGACCTTCAACCTTTGACCTGTGACCTGTGACCTTTAACCTGTGACCTTTGACCTCTGACCTGTGAGTGACGGAGTTCTGGTGTTTATCAGGTGGAGGAGCAGTTTAAGATGAACAGACAGACTTCTCCTACGTTTCAGCATAAAGTCTCCAACCGGATCTCCGACCCGGCTCTGCCGCCTCGCTCCGAGTCCTTCAGCAGCGGAGGGATCCAGCAGGCCCGGACTCCGCCCATGCACCGCTCCGTCGAGCCGCAGGTCAGAGCCCTACCCTCACTGAAGTGGGTTCACTTCAGCTTGTTGGGTTAGTTTGTAGAAATGTGCCGAAGAACCAGAAAGTTTAACCAGTGAGAGCTAAAGTTAGCTGCTGAACCTGAAGATCTTTACAGAAGAACCTGGTTACAAAAAGAAACTGTGGCTGAAAGCTAAAACTGTAGAAAGGTAGCTGAAAGCTAAAACTGTAGAAAGGTAGCTGAAAGCTAAAACTGTAGAAAGGTAGCTGAAAGCTAAAACTGTAGAAAGGTAGCTGAAAGCTAAAACTGTAGAAAGGTAGCTGAAAGCTAAAACTGTAGAAAGGTAG